TACCAGCATGTTTTTTTGAAAATTGCACTTTTAACTTTTATTCTACCCGACCCTAATAATAATAGGATCAGCCTCATCTTCAGATGCCAAATTCTACATGAACCATCGTCCACAGCGTGCCTTACAATTTGACAATGCTAAACATCGTATTCAGTAAAAGATGCTTACTTGTTTACATGATGTCGCGTTATTAATGTTAATATTAAAAACTACCCTGAAAAAAACAAGAGTGAGTATAGATGTCATCATCGCACCCTTCCTACTCATCTTCAGATGCCAAATTCTACATGGACCATCGTCCACAGCGTGCCTTACAATTTGACAATGCTAAACATCGTATTCAATAAGAGATACTTACTTGTTGATTCAAAGCAACGAAGTATAAGGACGTTAAGACATGATGCCGCGTTATTAATGTTAATATTAAAAATTATCTGTAAAAGCTACCCAAAAAAAAAAAAAAAAAGTGAGTACAGATGTCATCATCGCACCCTTCCTACTCATCTTCAGATGCCAAATTCTACATGAACCATCGTCCACAGCGTGCCTTACAATTTGACAATGCTAAACATCGTATTCAGTAAAAGATGCTTACTTGTTTACATGATGTCGCGTTATTAATGTTAATATTAAAAACTACCCTGAAAAAAACAAGAGTGAGTATAGATGTCATCATCGCACCCTTCCTACTCATCTTCAGATGCCAAATTCTACATGGACCATCGTCCACAGCGTGCCTTACAATTTGACAATGCTAAACATCGTATTCAATAAGAGATACTTACTTGTTGATTCAAAGCAACGAAGTATAAGGACGTTAAGACATGATGCCGCGTTATTAATGTTAATATTAAAAATTATCTGTAAAAGCTACCCAAAAAAAAAAAAAAAAAGTGAGTACAGATGTCATCATCGCACCCTTCCTACTCATCTTCAGATGCCAAATTCTACATGAACCATCGTCCACAGCGTGACTTACAATTTGACAATGCTAAACATCGTATTCAATAAGAGATACTTACTTGTTGATTCAAAGCAACGAAGTATAAGAAAAAGGACTTTAAAACATGATGTTGTGTCTTTAATACTGATAATACTGATGTTATAAAATTACCTAAAAAATTACCAAAAAAAGTGGATACAAAAGTTATCACCAACTTGACAGTGCTAAACATCGTATTCAGTAAGAGATGCTTGTTGATTCAAGGCCATAGAAATATAAAGAGAAGAACCTTAAAACATAATCGTCACGGTTGATTTTTTGACATAATGACTCCAAAGCCATAAATATTTGCAACCGATTTAAACTTCTAATCCGATAAAGCCTCTGGAACAACATAAGGTAAGATACTAGAAGTCTCAGTCTTTGTTTGGTTGACGTCTCTGTCATAATAGCTTCAAAACCAGAAATATCGGCAGCTTTTGTCACGATAAAGCCTTGGAGTGACATAAGGTAAGATCTTGAAAAGCTTAATCTTCGTCTAGTTGACATTTCTGACATAATAGTTCCAAAGTCATAAATATCGGCAGCTTGTGTAAACTTTTTGACCCAATAAAAAATCTGAATTAAGGCAAAAAAATCTTAAGTTTTTGTATGGTTGACGTCTAGCATAATAACTCTAAAGCCATAAACATAAGCAGCTGGCGTAAATTTTTGACCCGATAAAGCTTGTGGAACGACATAAGGCAAGATCCTGAAATCTTAAATTTCTGTTCAGTAAGCGTCTTTGACACAATAATTCCAAAGCTATGAATATCGATAGCTAATGTAAAACTTTACCTCATAAAGCCTCTGGTCTTAACTCTTTGTCCGGTTGATGTCTTTGACATAATGACTTCGAAGCTATAAACATAAGCAACTGGTGTGAATTTTTGACCCGATAAAGCCTCCAGATAAAGATACTAAAATTTTAAGTCTTTGTCCGGTTGACGACGTCTTGACATAATAACTTCAAAGTTCTAATGTCGAACAAACTTTTAACCCGGTAAAACCTCTGGAGCGACATAAGGTAAGAGCCTGAAAATCTAGTCTTAAGTCTTTGTCAAGTCGACATCTCTGATATAATAAACTTTTGACCAATAAAACTTCTGGAGAGACATAAGTAAGGTCCTTTCTTTTAAGTATTAAAAGTCCTTTATTATCATAGTCGACATATTGAAGCACCATGCGTTCGAAAAGTTAATTTCTGCAAACAGTGCTGAACATCGAAACGACGCGTTACGCTTGAAATTTTAATAAGGAACGTTGGCCAAATAAGCATGTAACCTGCTGTTACAAATAGATTGATTCGTTGTGTAATTATCAAACCGTCGTGTGAAGAAAATTTGAATGAATTATTCCATATACCAGTACGATCACATGAAATGTGGAGGGATGGTTGCGTTCAACTTTTTGGTGCGCTATATTTTTTCTTATTTTAGAAGGTATTATGGTTATCACTTTTTTTCCT